AGTTAAGCGACTTCATCTAAGTAGTTTAGCTTTCCTAGCTATAAAAGGTTGACACATTTCATAATTTACAAACTTTGGAAAGCACCAATATCGAACTCGGGCAAACCAGGACTTTCTTTTGGGGAGACAGACCCCTTGCCTGCACACAGGTGTTCCCTCTGCCTTTGGGTTCTCATTCTCCGACCAAGGGGTTTTTCAATCCCAGTCCTACGTTTTAATAGATTCCTCCTACTTGTTTTGTAAGGGCTGTAGTAAATTAAATTTTGAGGCCTAAATTTGTGTATAGTCCTAGGTTTATGGTATTACAATTTACATGGGAAACCCTAAATCTCCATAGATTTTTTGAGTCTCCACAGATTTTGGTCTTTCAGTAAAAAACTTTGCCTTCAGGCAGAATTTGAAAGTAGGCAGGCCTCTATGGAAATTGGGTTATTTAGGGTTAAGTTCAAGAGTTATGCCCAGACAACGGTAGTCCAGAGGATCCTTGACCAATTTCAGTCTCTAATCTGCAACAATGTAGGTGCCCCAATCAAAGTCTCCTTTCGGTCTCTGAAGTCTCATTTGAGACTGTGACAAATAGATCTGGGGCCAATCAAGATTTTGTGACAATTTCCATTCTTATCCATGCTTTATCATTTAGTACAGCCTCAGGCTGCTGGTCCTCCTCCTCCCGGTATTTGCTTTTATCTTTACCCTGATTAAGACTTAACAAAGGGGTTTCTGTAAATTATATTTGAATTTTTTACACCCCTAAAACATAGTGAATGTTACTTTACACCAGATGCTTAGCTTTTTTTCATTGATAAAATGGGGACAGCATTCACAACAAGGTTCAGAGACTTGGGGGGGAAAAAAGAACTTGAAAAAACACAACTAACAAAGTGTTTGGCACACTGCAGATGGAAGCAGTAAAATCAATTAAAAGGGCTAAAAAAAAGTTTATGGAAAGGTGGAATTGTAAGAGCTGGGAATTTTTTCATGAACTTTTCCAAGTCTACCAGTGCCAGGATAAAAGCAAAAATGCCTAATAATTCTATGACAACCTTTAAGAAAGAAAAAACAATTCTCAAAAATCAGGAAATTTCCCTTTATGTATCAAGCTGTGAAAGATGAAACTTCTTAGAACTTTGGTTAAACCAGAAAAATTTCAACTGAGTATCTGCGATTCTAGGCCTTAAGTTTTACTATCCTATGTTGCTTTTAAAAAGACACAGAGACACGGGTTATTCTCGAAAGGTAACTTACTATAAAAAACACACGGTGGCTGTCACGTCAGCTAGCTACAAAGTATTCAGGGTTTTAATCGGTGGACAGCTTGTGTCCTAAGTTAACCCATGTACCAAATATCCCTTTAAGAATAGTTACTTACTCTCAGCATTAAAGGAAGATATTTAATGACTACAATTTAATGGACAGCGTCTCCAGCCGGTTTCCAAAACCCCCGCAGATTAACACGGCGCCCTTGCATTCACATTCATTTTAAGAAAACGCGCCGCCACCACCCCCGCCATCCCCGTTCCAAACAGTAAAGCGAGATAAGAGCAAACATTTTAACTTTTGCCTGCAAACACAAGCCTTCACCCCAAAGCCTCAAAACGCACAAGCCACTAAGGTGACCCAACCGAAGCCCCCCAGCGCTTCGTTCTTCCAAACTCGAGGGAGGCCGCCAAGCTGGGGTGAGCATGCAGCCAGACAGTGCCAGCCCGCACTCTCCAGCCGATCCTTCGTAGGGAAAGACAACCAAGCAATTGCCAGGGGACCCCCCCGCCCCCCAACACACACAAATCCCTCTTTGCAAACAACCAGGAACGTTACGGGGAAAACCAACGGTGCTAATTCCCCAAGAATCAGAAGCCCCCTTCATCGCGCATTCACTGCTGGACCTTCCAGTATTGAATGCTCCCGACGCAAAACTGCCCCTTAAAGGCGGCGGGGCGGTCCCGGGCCGGCGCCGAGGGG